CAGCACCAGAAGCTGCGTTGGTTGGGACATGTGTTACGTATGCCGAACCATCGTTTGCCGAACAGAGTGCTGTTTTCTATGCCCAATTCAGAGTGGCGTAAACGTAGAGGTGGCGAACCCTTGACCTGGCAGAGGAGTATGAAGGAGATCACGAAACGCTTGGGTGCTGTCGGTGCTACTCGCCTTCCAGAATGTGGACCGCGTGATCCTCACTACAAGATATGGCTGCCAACCAATGTTAGTGGCGTTCTTGTTGTCAGTTTTTATCCAGATCGCCTGAGTGAGTGTGACATCTACGTGCATTCGATTCACCAGTTAGAGTTGTATTTTTAGGTCCCTGAATCGAAACCTCAAAAGCGCATCTCTATTGCTAGTGAAAATTGGTACAGATTATCCTCTTATAACAACGTCAGTCAAAAATGTTACGCTCACCCAGTGGTTCGTAACGTCAGAAGACCAGTGATGAACGGCGCATATTAAGTTGCAAAAGATAACAAAGTTAATAAAAATGAGGGCAAACCTCGAACGTGACTTCAGCTGCTGCGAACGGGCGAGAGTGTGAGGTTGCGTAGCTACGCAGTTCAGTACTGAAAGCCCAAAATGGGCGAATGTAAACAAGGTGATTGCTCGGACCGCCAAGTTCGTATGAAAGAATACGCAACGACAAAGCGAGGGCTTAGGCACAACCACACTCATCAAGACGCTTCAACGTATCATTCAGACCTAGTCTCGTTCGGATAATACTCCTGCTGACTTTAGTCTACACACCAGAGTTTGTACAAAATTTTGACATCCGAATCGGATTTAATGGTCAACACTGATCAATCTCCTGGGTGTCGGAACATATTAGGACGGTCATCAATGTTTCGGACCGAGCCAAATTTGGTGCTGCACGCAAAATTTCTGCGCCGGTGTAAACCAGTGGAAATACGATCGGCCAATGAGAGTGCAGACACGCGCTACGTATGTTACCGTAGATACACTACACATCAGCTCATTTTTTATACTTGGATGGTTGTAAATAATACTATGTGGCAAAATATAACCTACCAAGGCTGATCACCCCAAAACATTTGAAATCATCACGTGCGAAACCACTATCGATCGACTTTAGTCCACGTGAAGCCAAGCCAGAGGTATACTACACCTACCATTGTCCCACCTGCTCTAAAAAAGCGTTCAAAAATTAACTCGACCAGGA